GAACCGGCCGACGGCGGTCCCTGAAACCGAACGGGTGGCTAGCCACGCATACCCAATAATCCCCTTGGCCATGTTAAAGCAAGATGCTTATTACTGTTATACAGCTACATTTTTAATTAGATATTAAAAGTAGAGGAAGATTGAAGTTAACAAAGAAGAGAAAATATCACAAAGGAATGAGCGCATGCTTTAATAGTTATTACAGGTTTTTATGTCAAGAGATAAGGCGAAATTGAACACGAAGTTAGGTTTTATCAGTTGAAAAATCTGCGTGCCATAAAAAATAATAAAATAATAATAATAATAATAATAATATTTGGAACACATTGTCAAAGTATACAGGAAAATGGAAGAACTTCACAGCAAGGGAAGGAACTCACAGCAGAAGCAGAGTCGCTAGTTAAGCCAGGAATCACTATTAAAATTGGAGTTCTATCATCTTGAAGAATGGAATCATTTTTATCGGAAACACCTTCAACTGCAAATCATAGTTGTAAGAACCAGAGCCAAATACTTAAATTTTGTATGTAACTCAAAAGTCCTACATCTTGAGATCAATTTCTGTTGTAATATTTTCAACCAAAAGAAAGTGAAGCTGTTTTTAAAATGACATCTAGCATTAGAAAATTACTGACCTATTTTATCTGAAGCTAGACCATACCCTCTATGCTTAATTATTTTCCAACCATAATCCTCCTAAAAATGCTAGCATATGATATGAAATGAAAAAGATAGAGATGTAAGTGAAAGGCTAATAGCTAAAGGGTAAATGGCATCAACTTATTGAAAGTAAGGCCTAGAATATGAGTATTTTGTCAAACCATATAAAATAGCACGGAAGGGCTAATATTTTTAGTCAAATTGAGAAAAAACCGGTAACGTTTTTTTTTATATATTTTTTTATTTGTTTGGTGTATACAAACGGTGAAGAAATTTTCATAATTAACTTTAAGCAGTATATAGACGGTTGTAAATACTGGATTTGCTAAGGCTATTCTGTGTTTGTAACTTCTATGCTGAAAGAGATGGGAACATCATGTGTTGCAAACATTGAAAGGGGTTTCAAAAATAGAGCAATGAAGATTGGCCACAAAATTTGTTTGTAACTTTCTCAAGATGATGGTCCTCAATTTTGTAAATTAAGTGGAAAAATAAAAATA